AAAAGCCACATCGGTTCCTTATGAGATAGATCATTTTTTTAGCGCTTTGAAAATTGTAACATTTTGACCAATCAGAAGATCCGCAGTAATTAAGAAATGTAATTTTGTGCTTATAATCGGGCTGTAATTATAAAGTACGGAAGACAAACCAGAATACAATTAAGTTGTTTTATTTGAGTTCAGCATTGTTCTCCGCTGTTAAGGCCTTTACTTTTGCGAAACACGTATGGAGAAGTTAATTTGATTTTTCAATTTCAACTGAGAAGGGTACCTATAAGTATCAGTATCATCTTATGAACTTTCACTACTACGACATTTTTCCATAAATGAAATATCAAAATTAATAATAAAATGATTGGAAATACAAATAACACAGTAAAATGTAATAAATGTACATAAAATTATATTATTTTATGTACACTTCTGATAAAATTTCATAAGAAAGGTACCTATAAATTAATTAGATACCTTTCTTATGAAATTTAATCTCACTCTTAACAGTCTTATTTTTTAATTTCTTTATAATATATTTTCCATAAAGCATCGTAAACGTAAAGATGAAAGCTAAGTACAAAAAAAAAATTAAAAAATTAGAGCTCTGAAAGTTTTCCTCAAAAGTAACGAGGTAAATAATTTGTTCACTTAAATCTAAATAATTTCACTTCCTTCCATCCGTAGAAAGAATTATCCTCCCATAAGTTATCTAAACGTCACGAAAATGTCTTTCGTCACCTGTCAAGTGACGCGAAAGGTTATGACCTGCTTTGTTTTATTTTCAAATTACATTTTTTTCGGCGCAGAGGCTAAGTTAAGCTTGGTTCAAAATATTTTAAATAAACATTATAATTTCAGATTTTATTAAAATAAGTTTTGAAAAAATGATAATTGATTTCTAAAAGTATTTCAAAGTGAGATTTTCATCTTTTTTATAAAATGGAAAAAATGATTGAAAATGATGGATTATCTGTCCTTTTTTTTGACAAAAAAAAAAAGAAGATATTTACGAAAATTTTGGACGTGCTAGGAACGATTAAAAATGTAAGAAAATACCTTGATCTTTCCTCTTTAATAATAATATGAACATTAGACGATAAAATTTTGTTTTTTCGTTAAGTTTGGCGTCTTTTTCTTCATGCTATGCTCTTTTTTTTTACATTTCTTGGAAATACCTAATATATATATATATATATATATATATATATATATATATATATATATATATATATATATATATATATATATATATATGAGAATATATCTTAATTTCTCTAAATCAATATTGGGTATGCAGAAAATGGTACAATTTTAAAGGACGAAACGTCCTTCTTTTTCTTCTTCGTCTTCTTTTTCTTTTTCTTCTTCTTTTTCTTCTTCGTCTTCTTTTTCTTCTTCGTCTTCCTTTTTCTTCTTCGTCTTCTTTTTCTTCTTCGTCTTCTTTTTTTTTTCTTCTTCTTTTCTTCTTCTTCTTTTTCTTCTTCGTCTTCTTTTTCTTCTTCGTCTTCTTTTCTTTTCTTCTTCTTTTCTTCTTCGTCTTCTTTTTTCTTCTTCGTCTTCTTTTTTTTCTTCTTCTTCTTCTTCTTCTTCTTTTTTTTTTCTTCTTCTTTTCTTCGTCTTCTTTTTCTTCTTCGTCTTCTTTTTCTTTTTCTTCTTCTTTTCTTTTTCGTCTTCTTTTTCTTCTTCGTCTTCTTTTTCTTTTTCTTCTTCTTTTCTTCTTCGTCTTCTTTTTCTTCTTCGTCTTCTTTTTCTTTTTCTTCTTCTTTTCTTCTTCGTCTTCTTTTTCTTCTTCGTCTTCTTTTTCTTCTTCGTCTTCTTTTTCTTCTTCGTCTTCTTTTTCTTTTTCTTCTTCTTTTCTTCTTCGTCTTCTTTTTCTTCTTCGTCTTCTTTTTCTTTTTCTTCTTCTTTTCTTCTTCGTCTTCTTTTTCTTCTTCGTCTTCTTTTTCTTTTTCTTCTTCTTTTCTTCTTCGTCTTCTTTTTCTTCTTCGTCTTCTTTTTCTTCTTCGTCTTCTTTTTCTTTTTCTTCTTCTTTTCTTCTTCGTCTTCTTTTTCTTCTTCGTCTTCTTTTTCTTTTTCTTCTTCTTTTCTTCTTCGTCTTCTTTTTCTTCTTCGTCTTCTTTTCTTTTCTTCTTCTTTTCTTCTTCGTCTTCTTTTCTTCTTCGTCTTCTTTTTTCTTTTTCTTCTTCTTTTTCTTCTTCTTTCTTTTCTTCTTCGTCTTCTTTTTTCTTCTTCGTCTTCTTTTCCTTTTTCTTCTTCTTTTCTTCTTCGTCTTCTTTTTCTTCTTCGTCTTCTTTTTCTTTTTCTTCTTCTTTTCTTCTTCGTCTTCTTTTTCTTCTTCGTCTTCTTTTTCTTTTTCTTCTTCTTTTCTTCTTCGTCTTCTTTTCTTCTTCGTCTTCTTTTTTCGTTTCTTCTTTTCTTCTTCGTTTCTTTTTTTTTTCTTCTTTTCTTCTTCGTCTTCTTTTTCTTCTTCGTCTTCTTTTTCTTTTTCTTCTTCTTTTCTTCTTCGTCTTCTTTTTCTTCTTCGTCTTCTTTTTCTTTTTCTTCTTCTTTTCTTCTTCGTCTTCTTTTTCTTCTTCGTCTTCTTTTTCTTCTTCGTCTTCTTTTTCTTCTTCGTCTTCTTTTTCTTTTTCTTCTTCTTTTTTTCTTCTTCTTCTTTTTTCTTCTTCTTCTTCTTTTTCTTCTTCTTTTCTTCTTCGTCTTCTTTTCTTCCTCGTCTTCTTTTCTTCCTCGTCTTCTTTTCTTCCTCGTCTTCTTTTCTTCCTCGTCTTCTTTTCTTCCTCGTCTTCTTTTCTTCCTCGTCTTCTTTTCTTCCTCGTCTTCTTTTCTTCCTCGTCTTCTTTTCTTCCTCGTCTTCTTTTCTTCCTCGTCTTCTTTTCTTCCTCGTCTTCTTTTCTTTTCTTCGTCTTCTTTTCTTTTCTTCTTCTTCTTCTATCTTCTTTTCTTCTTCGTCTTCTTTTTTCTTCTTCTTTTTTCTTCTTCGTCTTCTTTTTTCTTCTTCTTCTTTTTTTCTTCGTCTTCTTTTTTTCTTCTTCGTCTTCTTTTTCTTTTTCTTCTTCTTCTTCTTCGTTTCTTTTCTTCTTCGTCTTCTTTTCTTCTTCGTCTTCTTTTCTTTTTCTTCTTCTTTTTCTTCTTCTTTTTTTCTTCTTCGTCTTCTTTTCTTTTCTTCTTCTTTTCTTCTTCGTCTTCTTTTCTTCTTCTTCGTCTTCTTTTCTTCTTCGTCTTCTTTTTCTTCTTCGTCTTCTTTTTCTTTTCGTCTTCTTTTTCTTCTTCGTCTTCTTTTTCTTCTTCGTCTTCTTTTTTCTTCTTCGTCTTCTTTTCTTCTTCGTCTTCTTTTTTTCTTCTTCGTCTTCTTTTCTTCTTCTTCTTTTCTTCTTCGTCTTCTTTTTCTTCTTTTCTTTTTTCTTCTTCTTTTCTTCTTCTTCTTCTTTTTTTCTTCTTCGTCTTCTTTTTCTTTTTCTTCTTCTTTTCTTCTTCTTCTTTTTTTTCTTCGTCTTCTTTTCTTCTTCGTCTTCTTTTCTTCTTCGTCTTCTTTTTCTTTTTCTTCTTCTTTTTCTTCTTCGTCTTCTTTTTCTTCTTCGTCTTCTTTTTTCTTTTCTTCTTCGTTTCTTTTCGTCTTCTTTTTTCTTCTTCGTCTTCTTCTTCTTCTTCTTTTTCTTCTTCGTCTTCTTTTTTTCTTCTTCTTCTTTTTCTTCTTCGTTTCTTCTTCTTTTTCTTCTTCGTCTTCTTTTCTTTTCTTCTTCTTTTTCTTCTTCTTCTTCTTTTCTTCTTCTTCTTCTTTTTCTTTTTTCTTCTTTTCTTCTTCGTCTTCTTTTCTTCTTCGTCTTCTTTTTTTTCTTCTTCTTTTCTTCTTCTTTTTTTTCTTCTTCTTCTTCTTCTTTTTTTTTCTTCTTTTCTTCTTCGTCTTCTTTTCTTCTTCTTCTTCTTTTTTTTTTCTTCTTCTTTTCTTCTTCGTCTTCTTTTTTCTTCTTCGTCTTCTTTTTTTTTCTTCTTCTTTTCTTCTTCTTCTTTTCTTCGTCTTCTTTTTCTTTTTCTTCTTCTTTTCTTCTTCGTCTTCTTTTCTTCTTCGTCTTCTTTTCTTTTTTCTTCTTTTCTTCTTTTCTTCTTCTTCTTCTTTTTTTTTCTTCTTCTTTTTTCTTCTTCGTCTTCTTTTCTTTTTCTTCTTCTTTTCTTCTTTTTTTCTTATTTTTCTTCTACTTTTTCTTCTTCTTCTTCTTATTTTTCTTCTTTTTCTTCTTTTTTTCTCCTTCTTCTTCTTTCTTCGTCTTCTTTTTCTTATTTTTCTTCTTTTCTTCTTCTTTCTTTTCTTTTCTTCTTCTTTTTCTTCTTCTTCTTCTTTTCTTTTTCTTCTTCTTTTCTTCTTCGTCTTCTTTTCGTCTTCTTTTTTTTTCTTCTTCTTTTCTTCTTCGTCTTCTTTTTCTTCTTCGTCTTCCTTTTGTTTTTCTTCTTCTTTTTCTTCTTCATCTTCTTTTTCTTTTTCTTCTTCTTCTTTTTCTTCTTCTATGTACCGTGTTCGATTGGCGCGTTCGCGATCATGGCTCCACAATTATCTTTGTAAAGCTTAAGAAATTGTGTCTTTTTTGTTATCTCGCCTAAAAACTTGTTTCGCCATCCATTTACTCAAGCTCGCTAGGGAGTTTTTCTTCTGTACCTCTTGCCTTCAATCTGTCCTGTGAGTACCAAATCTTCCGACCCATCTTTCCTCATTATATGTCCTGTCACTTTCTTTATAGATTTATACGTTTTCTACGGCCTATCAACCCTTTGCCGATTATTCAAACGTAGAAAATATTTTTAGACTGTAAGAAATTTTTTGCGAAGATAATAATAGTTTTTAGTGAGACAGTTTTTACTAATTAATCCATAGCTGATGGGAGAAGAGGTGGATTTATACCGTTCCCAAGGGTATTTGCGCGTAAATGAATATAAAGAACCCAAAGGAAATTAGAACTTCGTCCTCCGATTAACAATTCATAGTCATTATCCATTATATCACTTGCACTTCCAAGCTTACAGCACCTGGTATTCCCAAGCAGTCACCCATCTTGGTACTGGCCAGGGTTTTTTGTTGCTTAACTTCGGTGATCGTGTGGAACCTGTTGTTTCAACGTAGTGTGACCGTAAGACCTAAGATATTCTGATGTTAAACATGTGCCATCTTTCTATCCATTTTCTCTAAAACTTCCTCGTTTCTCACATGTTCGGTTTATGGGATTCTCAGCATTCTTCTGTAGAACCACATTTATATTGCTTCTCCTCTTAATCTGTCAGGAGATTATCCAGCATTCACTGCTTAATCGGAGAACTGATATTACGTAACAGTTCAGTTCTCCTGTTTCTTAATATTTTGCTTAGCTTTTGGAAAGCATCTTTCACCCTCCCAATGTGTCACCGGATTTCAGTGTCACACTCTCCGACCTCTCTTAAAACACTTCCCAGATATATAAATTGTTCCACTTGTTTGATTCAGGGTCAGTTAACCTCCCCGAACGAGACTCTGCATTTCGGCGGAGCCTCGTCCGGGTTCCTTTATGCTAAGGCAGAGAGTTCCACGGTTTAGTCGAAAAAGATTTCAGCTAGTATATTTAGCCACCGCCCACGAGGGTTGCATGTGGCACAAGGCCGGGTTTAACGTGGGTTCTCCGATCCCGTAGGCAATGAAGATGAGGATAACAGTCCGAAAATGTAAATAATACAAGTAATCATAATACCTCATCTCAGAGATATAGACAGATGTTGAAGAAGGCCGGAAAGTAGAACGACCGAAACTCTGTAAATAAGGCAATGAAGATGAGGATAACAGTCCGAATAATGTAAATAATACAAGTAATCATAATACCTCATCTCAGAGATATAGACAGATGTTGAAGATGGCCGAAACGTACAACGACCGAAACGTTATAAATATAGCAGTGAAGATGAGGGTGACAGTCTTAATAATGTAAATAATGCAAGTAATCATAATACCTAATCTTAGAGATATAGACAGATATAGAAATCAAACTCTATTACAAAATATAGCTTCAACAAAGTTACAACATAAACCACAGATATCATCGCCTCTAGTAATAATGTTCACACAAAGAAAAATGTAGAAAAACTGAGTATCCTTTACCATGTATTCAACTGTGAAAGCAGAATAACATATATCATATTTTTATTACTTCAAAGCTCCCAAGAAAGTTAAATTTCGGTATTAAATGACCCATAAGGTGTTGATATGCCGTTAAAAACAATCAATCAAAATTGTATGGACTTTTTTTTTTTTTTTCAATTTGGAATCGAACCTCTTATTCAATCCAAAGGGTTAGACTGTTTTCGTTCCGCTTCTCATGCTTAGGGGAAGATAACTCATACCAGTTAGGGGAGGTAACTCATGTCAGTTACTACTCACCTTTTGTCACCTTTTGTGTTATTTGTCCGTTTCTTCTCATGTGATTTTTCAGAATGACCAAACACATGAATTGAACTGACAACTACCAGGGAACTAGATCTGTTTTAACGAAAGTTTTGAATCACTGGGCGATGTGTCCCCGTCACATTTTCCCCTGGTGTTAACCATTCTTCTGATGAGTGCTGTAAAAGCAAACTTTGTGAAAGAAAAATTAAAATCTTATCAATGTATGTCGATATTATCACTACGACTTTTCTTCTTTTTTTTTTTTTCAATTTTAAATCTACGCAGGTATCGACGACGTTTGTGCTTGACATTTATAAATAAAAACAAGGGGCAGATAACTCTTTAAAAAGTCATGGATCGATTTGATCTGACACTGTATTTATATTATAAACAATACGTTCTTTCTAAAAGGATTTTTAAAAAATCAATATTTTTTTCGATTCTGACAACTATCATGGCCAGATGAAGGTTTGTTGAACACTAACCTACAAGAACTGTTTTAAACAATTCTGTCCTATTATTAACAAGTGCAATTCTCAGATATTTAAACTGTTGTACCTGTTTGACATGGGTATTTAATTTTTCTAATTTGCATGTTAGGCTGTTCTTTCTACTGATAACCATGCATTTTGATTTTTAGTCTTGTCTTCTCACTTTCCTTCATTACCTTCTGTAGAATTTCTGTGCCATCTGCATCTTTTATACTGTCAAGATTGTAACCGCCAATAACGAATTCTGGTATGACACTGTATAGGTTGGATAAATTCGGTTAAAACCTACACGATATATGAGTCTATCAATTTAATTTGACAGAAATAAATTTCAAAAGGCCGTAGAAAGAAACAGACGAAATTTTATGGTAATGATAATAAACACAAACTGAAAAGAATTACAATTAATAATTAAGAATAATTAATTAAAAATAAGCAATTCTTGAAATAACATCACAATGTTTCTTCTTTGTTTTTTAATTTTAATTTTTTAATTCTAATTTTGTTTTTAGTTGTTTTTTTTTTTACAATGGTAACTGTCGTACAATATATATATATATATATATATATATATATATATATATATATAAGACATTTTATGTTTATACATTCTTTTTATAGATACAAATATTTAAGTAAATGCTCTGTTTATAATAAACAGTATTAAACAATATTTACCGGCCTGAATGTCCGAGAAATTTTCTGTGAAAATGTTGTTTAATACTGTTTAATATAAACAAGCATTTACTTAAATATTTGTATCTATAAAAAGAATGTTAAACATAAAAATATCTTAAAATAATTGTCGGACTTTGTCCATTTCATATATATATATATATATATATATATATATATATATATATATATATATATATATATATATAGAGAGAGAGAGAGAGAGAGAGAGATAGATAGATCCGACTATTCACAGAAAAAAAAATCATATGTATGGGAAAAAAATTTAAGAAAATTTGCTTTTGTCTTTTCCCCACAAAAAATCAAAATTAAAAAAAAAAAACGTTCACAGTGCAAAGTATTTGACTTTTAACTCTGTCGGCGCATTGTTGAATAGCCGAGGGTAAAAAGGTTGGCTGGCTGGTAGATGCGAACTGCAGACTGCAAACGAGATATAACTATATTCGAACAGGAAACAAAAATAACAAGAAATTCTGTGTGGGATAAAAAAAAGAAGTCTCATCAGTAATGCCTCCTTAACAGCCTTTTATCATTTTCCAATCCGTCATTATTGTGTCATTTGGGCGTTAATCTTTCGTCGATTGTCCTCGAATGCCGTTCATCTGCTGGAATGACGAGTGCCTCTTTTTTTTTTTTTTTTTTTTTTTTTTGTTGTTGTTATTAATACTACCAACGACGTCATCTTGATTTTATATTGTTGTTGCCGCCTCTCCCAACGAGAGGAACGGCAAGATCTTTACATCACGCTGGTCACGTATTTTCTTGTGCATAATACAAAAAACTTTGAACGAAACTTAAAGGCAACGAAGATTTTAGATATTTTTACTTATCATAAAAAGACCTTGTTAATAATTATCAAGAGTGGTCTCCCCTTCTTTTGTTACTCTCTTCTTTGAGAGAGTTATTTCTGTTTACAGGGACTATAAAAGGACACTATACGAGAAATTTGTAATCTCAGTTGAATAAAAATTTCTAAAAGCCAACACCTGCATGCCTTTGTCATTACAGACCTCTTATTTGAAACAGCAACATTGCAATTACACGCAGTAAAAGAGATATGGCATGGCTTTGCAAAACAAAGATCAAAAGGGAGTTTGTACATGGGCAAATAGTGAAACGAAAACAAAAACTAAACAGTATCTCTATCAATAAAAGGCAGGATGTGTGTGTGTGTGTGTGTGTGTGTGTGTGTGTGTGTGTGTGTGTGTGTGTGTGTGTGTGTGCGTGTGTGTGTGTGTGTAACGAATGCACGGCCTCAATTTTCGACGGATTTGCACCAAAATTTACCTGCAAGTTAGCCGAAAGGCCAAGACCGACTTTGCATTTCCCAACTCCCATCGATATTGAAAATAATCGATTTTTTCATGCTTCTACGGCAGTTTTCATATAATTTGCGGCCATTTTCTACTGGCCAGAGCGAGAGCCTATAGCTGGCTGCCACGAATAGGGAGGAAGGTTCTATTGGCCAGCGTGAGAGCCAACAGCTGACTGACACGAATGTTAACTAGCATGCAAGCATGCAAAAAATATCGATAGCTGCATTCGTCAGAAGTGGGAAAAATTTAAATCTGCATGGCACTTTACTCCAATTGGCTCATTCGCTTGTTTAAACTCAACGTTGATTCTGATTCCGCAGAACTGGGTTGGGTGTGAAAAAGTATTTGTTGTTAACATTCTTTTTTCATTCGGTTTTTCCAGTTACGAGTCCTTTTTTAAAGCTGATCGTTTTGTGTTCATTTTGTTTAGTTCTTTTTCGTAACAGATTTAATGTTTAGTATAGAGCTTAGAAAAAAATTCGCAGTGTGAGAAGAAGTAAGGCATGTAGCAACATCAGCATGGCAAAGGCACTCCTTTAAAAGGCAAGGAAGAGAAAAAATATTTTAAGTCAAGTGATAGCGATTGCTGTATGAGTCGTACTATTTTTTGAATCAAGCACGGGCAACGCCGGGTCATGCTGCTAGAGAAAGTATAAAAATATATTCGTATAGTAAAATATCAGCAATATATTTATATAAAAAAAATGACTACCAAAACATTTTATCTGTAGTTGAAACAATATGATGCAAAACCCGAAATCGGCGATGAAGACAGTGCATCACTGAAGATCACCCTTGATGCGTCTGAAATGTATTATTCAACTTAGTTGAAGCCCTAAAATATTTCCGAAATATTAAGATTTCGCCATTGAATAACCCATAGAAGTTGCTATGCCACTAAACAAAATTAACTAACTCACACTCAGTAACCCGTTGCATCCTAGCGGCTTTATTACCTTGAAATGATAAAAATGGTTTCGTTTGTTTTGTTTAACGGCATAACAATCTTAATGGGCTATTTAATGCCGACAAGATTTGTATTGCTGGTCATAATTATTTACAAAAAGTATTGCTGGTAATATTTTTCTTTCAAAAATGTATTGCTGGTACTAAAACTTATTTCTATACTTTCATAGTGTTTTGAACCCAGTTTGGGGGTTAACTATTTGCCCACAGTTGGGACCCTAACAGGTGCTACCACCCCAGTCAGGGTAGACCTGG